GAACTGTAAAGATATTCATAAATTACTCAGTGCACGCTATAATTATACCAATTTTTTTTCCATAACCAAATAAAATGACAAATTTTTATTATAATTTTTACGGGTCTTTTTATGTTACCACGAGTCATTAAGATTTTACTACGCGTATTGGAAATCCAAACGATTTAAAACTGTTAGTGACGGTTAGTGCCAAAAGCAATTTACTTTCGAGTGCTTTTCAATTTTTATAGGTATACCTATAATATGTAGGTACCTATAGTACAATAAATTGTATTAATATTATTTTTTAAACGAATCGTAATCAATCGTAAATCAATTCAAATGCTTACATACTTATTTGTTTATATTATTATTAGGTTGTAGGTTACCTACATATAGTATTATTATGTTTGCATGATAATAACAATTATTATGTTATGACTTATAACTGTAAATATAACAAATGTATTTAACTTTTTAAATTTTTAAATGTTGCTGTTATTGTAATGTGTAGGTACATACTGAATTATTATTTAAAAATAATGTTATCTTTAAAATACGTAGTTAACGACATTGGTGACGTTATTACTGTAATAGTATTATTCCTAACAACTATTGTAACCTATAAATATGATTCGTTAGATATTACTGCTACTGATTTCCGAATTTATGTTTTACTATTAATTTCGTAGTGTACAGCTACATGTACAAACGCATCTCTTTTTGGTTTTTCTATTTATTATGTTGTACGTTATTTTATTATATATAGTGGAAAATAATTGTTTTTATTTTATATATAAAAATATAGTATAATGGTTGTATTGTTGAGTTGAGTGTATAACTGGTAATGTTATTAATCAAAGTCAAAATAACACAACTGGTTTGAACAAATGGCCAACAGACAATCGTCGGTACCTATAGGGTTTATTGTATACACACTTTTTTTTTTCTGAAACTATTATATAGGGCCTTTTTCATTTCCTGTAAAAAATTGGGTTTACAATAATTGTTAAAACAAAAATTACCGGTCATTGGAGAAATATGTTCTATTCTATAGACTATAATAATTGGAGAAATACTGAATATGAAGTATCGAGTTGGGTTATGTATAGTGAGTATATTGTGGTAGGTAGGTATATAAAATTGAAAAAGTAAATTGCTTATGGTAGAAGTTTTTAAAATCTTATTAGGTACTAAGTTATTAATAATTTTAATAATCAATACATAATGTTTACAAACTTCTACAAACTGTAATAGCGGTTCCATAATTTATTCTTGTTCAACAGTCACCACTAGTTGATTTTTAAGAAGACAAAACAAATACATAATATCATAATATTGTAATAATAATAATTAAAGGTTAGGTTAGGTTAACATACCTTTTATCATAATAAAATATCAAATATTGCCTCATAATAATTTCATTACTAACAAGTTTTCTTTTATAAAGGTACCTTATAAGAATTATCAGATACAATATATGCAACTTTTTATGAAACAACAACCGAATTTGCTTGGCTCAATAAAAACGGGGCGCCTAGTAAGGGTCTTTTAGTATTTTTACCAGTACAAATTGGTAAGTTAAAGTTTTTCTAACTCTGATTGTACATGTTAGGGTTTTATTTAAAAAATTAAAGTTTATATTAATTATAATCTAATTTATGTGTATTAAATATTATTTGAATTAGAATGCCTTATTTTTCTTGTATAGGTCTTAGACGCGAGACGCCAGCCCACCGTAAGACAACAGCTAGGTATTTAGCTTGATGGCTGACGCTAAACTCGTCACTATACCTATCTGTAATCTGTATGTTTAATATTTATAGTATACCCAGATAAAAGTTTCATATATGTATCTAATTAGTATTTCGTCTTTACAAAACCAACATTTACGATTTTTTTTCGTTTGGGGGTCTTAAATTTTAAGTTACTATTTTATAAGCATTAATTCTAAAAACTATATTAAAGATCTCCCTGATTGTAAATACACTGAGAATGGTAAGTTCTTAAACGAGACAATATATACATCACATAATAAAAAACAAATTTATTTTCCACTTCATACGGATTTAGTTCTGGTGTGGCTTAAAATTGTTTTTCGAGAATTAGAAAAAAATACAACTCATTAAGGGCGAATAATTATTATATTATGTTATTATAACCGTTGCAGGAAATCGAAAAATCCATTACCAGCTTATTAAATAATTTTTCAGAGTACAAACTTATTTCTTATAACTATAATATAAAATAATATATATTTCTAAACTATAAGTATAATTAGTAATACTGTAATATTATATAGAATTCTAACTACATATTAATTCATTTTAAAAAAGGTGGGAAAGTGGGTATCGCTCTGTTTTACGGTATAGGTGCCGACTGACGAGTGGGTCACTGTCATAGATTATAATATTAGAGATGTATTAAATTTTAATTCAATTATATCATCGTATATTTGTATACGGAAAATGATTCTGAGTTGTGTAAGCTATATTTATATACACACGTCATATAGTGATTAAAATATTGTACTATATAGTATGGTATTGAGCCAGTAATATATACTCAGGATGTAACAGGAAGATCTAATAAATGATATAACTTTTGTTTTAATCAATATTTTTTAATTATTTTTTCTGAATAATTTATAGACTTGTGCTCTTTTGAAAGTAAGACATTTGAAATGTGATTTACATTTTTTTTAAATATCATAGTTGTTCACTAATTTGTAAATCTGGTTTTTAAAAAACTTTTGATATTAAAACATTTATCTAAATTAAGTGGTTTATTTTTGTATGATTTTTTAAAATACCAATTTTTTTGAAGTAAAATTCACTAATTTGAAAAGTACCTAATAATAACTTAGGTTCATAAGGTTCAAAACATTCATAGTGGATGCATAAGAATAAGTATTGCTAAAGCTATACTTATGACTCAAATGAGATTCATAACGAGACTTTAGCTTAAGAAAAGGAAAAGTATTACTTAAATTAAATTTGGTCAAGGCCTACCTTATGCATTACTTTCAATTATTTTTATTTTTTAAATTATGAAAATTAGCTTAAGCAATACCCTAAGCATCGACTATGAGTATGATTTTTAGATTCAATAAGTACCTATTAAAAATGTTCATAAATTATTATGTACCTACTTATTTATTACCTTAAAAAACTAATTATTCAATATTTCAATGAACCTCAAGTGAAAACCAAAAGTATATTTGATTTCTTATTTGAATATTTTCTCTGAGTTTGTAGCTGTTCTTGATAGATTTTTAATGATATTAATACATTTGATGCCATGCTTTGAAATAGTTTTTAAATTATGTTTATTTGGCCAGTCAGGTAGGTTATTACTTATACTAATGTCCGCCTATTTATATTCAAACCATAAGTATATTTTCAGAAGATTGTATATTGGTCATCACTTTGCGTTATATCAATATGTAATGTGATTGTTTTATCGTATAAATGTATAATAGTACTTATATATTATACAATAATAGTACTAGGAATTTTAAGTTTTTTTTTTAAAAAACGTCTTTCCTATATAATATTATTACACGCGCGTACCTCATCGCTACACTGCGTATTGTTATAATATATTATTATTATAGACGTACTACACCGTGTAAACGCGCTTCATAACGGGTTTTTTTGGCGCGTTATTTGACTTAACAGTTTCCGTATTTTTTTTCCGTCGATCACCGCCGCTGCCGTAGTCCACGTCCGTCGTACAATAATTATCATCGTATGGTCAGACACTCGCCGTACCCATTATAATATACCCGTGTAACGTATACGGTATAAGTATATATATATATTTGACCGGGTCTATATACGTAGGATAAATAATTACGAGAGGCCGTGCCGAATTCGCGTGTTTTACGCGCTTCGAGCTGAAGAAGATCGCGCTCTCGGACACCGCCGCCGATATATTATATATTATTATTTTGTGCCTTAGCTATATTGCGACCAGCTCGTCGGCCGAGATCGTTTGTATATTATTATTATTGTTTTGTATTTTAGATGTTTCTTTTTTTTTTTACGTTTGCCCGACTACGACGTGCGGCCGAGTAACAACACAAACAGGAAATTATACGGTTTGAAAAGCGATACCGTCTCAGATGTTATATCCGAGTAATTTGGATTTGTGTCGGCGGCTCTTCCCGTTCTGGATGACCCATGCAAATTCAATCGATTACCGACGCGCCGAAACGTTTTGTTGATGGGCTGTAGGTAAATAAATTGTCCGCTATAATATATTACCTGTAGCTGGTATAACACAAAATATATTATTATTTACACAAATTGTGTTAATTATAAATTATATTATAATGTATACACCGGCCAAGAAATTGAGATCGATAGGTACACTTCAGATACACATAATATAGGTAATAACAAATATGTCATATATATAGGTACTTGTATAAGAATAAATTCAAGGCTAGTCAAGTTCAATTAATGTAGACAAATGTACTTAGTTAAGTTTAAATTTAAAAGTTACAAGTTGAATGGAAGAAAATAATTAACTAAACTTAGTTAAAAATCAGTCCCGTTTTTTTTTTAAACTGAATATTTACACCCACGCTAAGACACAATAATTAAATCTGATAAAAGTATAAACACAAAAATATAAATATGAAGTAAAAGTAGGTACCTAGTACCTACCTATTACATATAGGAGTATAGTATTAACAGTAAAAATAACAAAAGGGAAGCTAACCATTAACTAATGATATAGACTCTATACTACCTATATCAGAAGTTATTAATTATTTAGGTGAATTTTTTATAAGTTAATTTTTTAAGGGATGGTGGCACTAATGTCTCTTTAAATTTCGATGCAGTTCTGTAACATAAGCGATAAACTGCATAGTGGGCATGCTCTGATACAATGATACTGTCAAAAGTCTCGGACATACGCTAGGTATATCTGATGCAGGGGTGTTATCCGTGGGTTAATGGTTATTACCTCCAGTAACCACTCTCAACGTTGCTGGTATAGTGGTGACAGCCTCAGTATGCTGTGTGCCGGGACCATTTTGAATAGTTGTACACATCTGTAGTAGCTGTACGCTGAAGCTGTACGATTGACGATATTTTTCGGTTCGGTGAATTTAAACCTAAACGGCCCGCGGCCCACAAACACGCGTTTTTTAACTTCGTTATTTTTTCTTTGTAAATATTCAAAAAGCTACCCGAAGGAAGACCACCATAGGCCCCTAGGGAGGATTCTTCTGTTCCCGATATGCCAATACTCCCCACCATGGCTGTACGCAGGTATAATATTATGCTATTTATACATTAAATCCGCTACTACAAAGTCTACATGTACGCACGGTTCCCATAAGGATACGTTCATACCTATATAGTAACCAATGAATTGCTTACTATGGGGTATCCGCGGTCAAATGCGATGTTTGCGATAATATAATATATAGCGATTTATAAATAAGCTTATTTTTCCTTAAAAGCGCTAATGGTACTTATTGTTGCGGGCACGTGAGTCAATTTTAAACAGAAACATTTCGTCCATCGCACCACTTATCAGTTATCACTTAATCTGCAGTGATCTACGCATTGAATAATCCAGATTCAGGGTAGTTGATCGTAGTTTTAATTTAGTCATGCCTGGGACTTTAAAGTTAAAAACCAAAATTTGTATTTTGGAAATACGATTAAGTACGATTTAAAGTTTGGAATTTATAGAAGATAGGTAGAAGGGTATATAAATGGTATATTTTGACCAGGGCCGGCGTTAGGGGGGGGCAAAGCGGGACATTTGTCCAGGGCCTCGCGCATTCAAGGGCCTCGCGCTCGAAATTTACATAGGAAAATATTTTATATGAAAATCTTGTACTAAAACAAAACAACAATATAATATTATAATATTAAATATTTATGCGTCAACGTCGATCGGTATGGCACGTCGAACGGTATGGAAACCCCGGATTCCTAAACAGTTAATCGCATTATTAAATTTAATCTATCATTACCCGATATTGCGAGCTGCTGTCAAATCATTTAGTGAACGATTTAATCAATTTAAAATGTATAGCGACAATTTCAGTTTTCTATACAATATTGGTGAGCTCCAAAAAATAACTAATGACGACCTTATGAAGAGTTGCTTAGATTTACAAAATTATCTAAGTGACGGAGAATTATTTGATATAGTTGCTTCTGAATTGTATGAAGAGTTACTAGTTTTTCGTCATACAATGAAAGAAGATTCTACGCCAATAGAAACACTCAGTGGCGTCCGCAGGATTTTTCAATGGGGGGGGGGGGCTTGAAAATTAGTTACAATTTTATTTTTATTTTGTCCAGTCTAATAATTTCAGACGTTTATTTGAGGTATTTTAAAATGTTAGTAACTTTTCAACTTTTCTAGTAGAAAATATGCTCTTATCATAAGTTTTGATGGTACTTTTAGGAGGTCGAAATTGAATCTGCTCAGTGCTTTTAAAAGTACCTAATAGGAGAAAAAAAAATGAAAACTTATTTAAATTGTTTGGTAACAGTAGCTTGGTTTAACAGTGACGTATTTATGGGCGGGGATATGAGGGATAGATCCCCTCCCTTACCCATTTTTTTTCCATGTATAAAGTACAAACTGCTGCAGTACTGTTGTTATTTATAATTTTGTTATCCTGTGGGCATGTGAGTGACATTACACAACATTTATTATTATTATATACCTTGGAGTAACTAACAAAAAGTTGCAACAGCACTAAACAAATTTTGATATCCCCCTCCTCAAGAAAATCCTATATACGCCCCTGCTTGGTTATACCGTCCTCACTTGGATTGTATTTGATTAATTAACTTTTTTTTTTTTATAAATGTCAATAAAAAATTATTTATCCGGTGAAAAAGCTTAAAAATGTAATACGTAAGTTTTTTTATTATAGCTAAAATATTAACGATACATATGCATTTAAAGTTCAAAACAATTTAACCACAGTTAATTTGTAGTTCAAAACTTATAAAATATAAAATATGTACAGCTAAGGCTAGACAATTTAATGCAAGGTCTTTCGTACAAGTAGTTCATTCTTTTACCAAAAAATTACAGATAATTTATGAAAATTGGTATGCAAATACAATGTTTTTTCAAAAATGAATTCATTCTGGTAAGTTATATATGAAATTTACGTCTTGCTTACTATAGTTGACAGTTTAAACTTGATTAATATATTTTTTTAAAAGTAATAATAATACGGGCAATGGGGGGGGCTTCAGCCCGTTAGCCCCCCCCCTCCCCCTGCGGACGCCACTGGAAGCACTCAGTTTTTAAAAACAATTCCTGGTGCTTTTACAGCTTTTCCTAACAGTAATTTCACTCCGAATTTTGTTAACCATACCAATCACCTCAGCGTCAGCAGAAAGGAGTTTCTCAAAGCTCAAAATAATCAAAAATTACCTAAGAAACACAATTTCTCAAAAACGATTGACTGAATTGGCTACTATTGCAATTGAAAATGAAACAGCAAATACATTGAATTTTATGGACGTCATAGAGTTGTTTGCGTCCAAAAAATCAAGAAAAAAATTTTAAATATTCTATATTAATTTTGTTTTTTATTGCTTAAATTTCTAATGTTTAAATGAATTATTTTATATTAAATTTAGTACATACAATTACAGAACCTTTGTACATTTGTACATTTGTATACCTTAGTGGCTTAGTATATATTTCGTAAGTTATTTATATGTTTGTAAGTTGACAAGTGTAATACGTTTAAAAGTAATCATTAAAAAGTTGAAAATGAATATTTACTAATGTATTTTTATTTCAATAAACATCATAGGTGTAACTAGGGTCAACATTTTGGGAGGGCTTAAGTCCTTAATGATTTAAAATAGTTTTATTTGGGACCCACATTTTTTATGATTTTTTGCCTTTTACATCTATGTTCTATGCGATATGGATATTGGTTAAATAAGTTTTGCCCAGGGCCTCGCAAAAGGTAGCGCCGGCCCTGATTTTGACCATCTCTAGCCAATTCATGAACGCGTGCGCGTTATAATATAACATAGTAAGAGTAACGTTATTATTGTTATCGTCGTAATGGATGAGTAACTCTTAACAGCAGGTTTTTTTTTCGTATTCCAGACTTATGTACACAAATGTAATGTACTTACGTTTGTTTGGTTTGGTTTTGGCACGTAAACAATTTCGATGTGGGTATCTATATTATATGTATAGATAGGTACTGTAGGTATATATGTTTATGTGCATATTGTATAGGTACGATTCCTGTAAACCAAAAAAAAATCCATTCGACAACCGCTACTGTATGATACTAATAGGGTTTTCGTGATTTATTCAAAACGAACGGGTTAAAAATCAAATAATATAATATATGTATAATAATACTCATGTATAGGCTACCTATAGTATCTAAATTTTTTAAGAAACGGTATATTATTAAAACGAGTAATGACTAACGAATAATATATTTCACCGAAATTCGCGGTGGATAATTATATTATATTGTATGTGTTTATATATGCGTACAGCATTCAACTACTGAACTATTATTACGATATACCCACGATGCAGCTCCGAATATCAAAAAATCGATAGTGATGTATAATATTATTAATATTATTCTGATCGATATATTTGTATAGAACATCGAATTTTTTTTATTTACGTACTTTCATGCAATGAACTGCTCAACTGCTACTCATCGTTCAATACAATAACAATAATATTGTAATAGCAGCTATATAAACTACATTATACAAACGTGTTACGACCAATACTCAACGAGAGCTCAACTCGAGATGTATACAAGAGAAATTACAGTATAAGTACACAATGTAATGTTATTTTATTTTCTCATACAAAAAAATAAAAATACAATATACAGACACATAAGTTTTTAATTTATCTATGATCTAGTTTAGTTGTTAGCCATTATGTAATCACGCATCTTCTTTCCACTTATAATAACAATATTGTTCTTTCATAGAAAAATAGTCCAGTCCAATAAAATTCAATATATATATATATATATAAAGTTGCTATATACAGGCACCTTTTCTATAATATGTGACGGTGACAAAAGGAAACCATAATAATATATATTATAGTTGTATTCAAGATAGTCCATATTGCCTAGATTAAAGATCTACAATGACATTATTGTGTATCCTTACCCCTTTGTTACAACGAATAGTGTTCCCATATATATATATATATATATATATATTAGGAATAGTAAAAGATTCAACATCACAGCATTTCAGTTACTATAACGTCAGTGAGTGTTAACAGCAACAGCAGTCCTCAATATAATAATAAGTTTATGTATCCTTATATATATTATACTATATAATAAACTGTTCAATGTATATTACAATACATTCCGTTAAGATAGGTATATGATATTATTATATAAATAAATGTAAACATACAATATCGGTATGAATAACTAAGTAAAAAATGATTCTCACGTGAATTGAGAACAAGTTCATATAACATGGGTACTTTTTAAACATAATTTTTTTAGAATTCTTGCAAAATATAAACAAATACAATATAAAGTATACTAACAACTAACAAGCTACTTATATTTTATGACTTCACAGATAACCGAACAAGTAACAGGCGTTAGACTCAGATAGAGATAACTCAAATAAGTTAAACCGACGCCGTAGACGCGTAGTGAATATGCGAAAACTCAAATCACCAATAACCACCATATTTACATCCATAATATTAATATTATATTAATATTATAGTTAATTATTATATACATTGAATTAGTGAAAGACTTTTTTTTAAAGAAAAGCTCAATATTTAGGCCCCGTGCAGGTTACGCAGATGCTTGCGATACAATTTACGCACGAAAAAAGATCAAAAATATTCCTTCAAGGTATGCACTATGTCACAGATTTGATGATAAGTATTGATTATGGTTTGATCAAATAATTTCCTCTCCGGCAATAGAGTAACGGGATTTATTCGTTTACTTAATATTTCTTTTGACCATTTTATCGGTTGATACTTAATATGAATTCGTGAACTTTTCAAGTCTCCACGTTCCGATCAACTACCGAACCACAAAACATATGGATGATTTATCAAATTCAAGTACCTATATCTATGAAATTCAAAACAATTGGGAAGAACGGAGTAATATTAATAATAGATTCTCGAAAGGCACCTTTGATTCTGTATCATAGTTAGAGCTATAATAGGCGCAATGGTACTAAATAAGTATACTTTGTATTAAATAGTAATATAGTGTATA